CTTCAGTGCCAACACAAACATCAGTACCAACATCTACATCAGTTCCAACCCCAACATCTGAACTGACACCAACATCAGCACCAACTCCAACATCTGAACTGACACCAACATCAGCTCCAACACCAACATCTTTCCAAACTCCAACATCTGAACTTACACCAACATCAGTGCCAACACCAACAACTGAACTGACACCAACATCAGCTCCAACACCAACATCAGCTCCAACTTCAGTGCCAACACAAACATCAGTACCAACACCTACATCATTTCCAACCCCAACATCTGAACTGACACCAACATCAGCACCAACTCCAACATCTGAACTGACACCAACATCAGCTCCAACATCAGTGCCAACACCAACATCTGAACTGACACGAACATCAGCTCCAACACCAACATCTGAACTGACACCAACATCAGCTCCAACATCAGTGCCAACACCAACATCTGAACTGACACCAACATCAGCTCCAACACCAACATCTTTCCAAACTCCAACATCTGAACTTACACCAACATCAGTGCCAACACCAACAACTGAACTGACACCAACATCAGCTCCAACACCAACATCAGCTCCAACTTCAGTGCCAACACAAACATCAGTACCAACACCTACATCATTTCCAACCCCAACATCTGAACTGACACCAACATCAGCACCAACTCCAACATCTGAACTGACACCAACATCAGCTCCAACACCAACATCTTTCCAAACTTCAACATCTAAACTTACACCAACATCAGTGCCAACACCAACATCTGAACTGACACCAACATCAGCTCCAACACCAACATCAGCTCCAACACCAACATCAGCTCCAACTTCAGTGCCAACACAAACATCAGTACCAACACCTACATCAGTTCCAACCCCAACATCTGAACTGACATCAACATCAGCTCCAACACCAACATCAGCACCAACTCCAACATCTGAACTGACACCAACATCAGCTCCAACACCAACATCAGCTCCAACTTCAGAGCCAACACAAACATCAGTACCTACACCTACATCGGTTCCAACCCCAACATCTGAACTGACACCAACACCAACCTCTGAACTTACACCAACATCATCTCCAACACCAACATCAATTTTAACACCAACATCTATTCCTCCTGGAACATATACCACAACAACAACTACAACTCCTGAACCTCCACCAACATCTTTACCTACACCAACCTCTATTCCAACTCCAACATCAGTACCAACTCCTACATCTGAACTGACACCAACATCAGCTCCAACATCAGTGCCAACACCAACATCTGAACTGACACCAACATCAGCTCCAACACCAACATCAGCTCCAACACCAACATCAGCTCCAACACCAACATCAGCTCCAACTTCAGTGCCAACACAAACATCAGTACCAACACCTACATCAGTTCCAACCCCAACATCTGAACTGACATCAACATCAGCTCCAACACCAACATCAGCTCCAACTTCAGTGCCAACACAAACATCAGTACCAACACCTACATCAGTTCCAACCCCAACATCTGAACTTACACCAACATCTGAACTGACACCAACATCAGCTCCAACACCAACATCAGCTCCAACACCAACTTCTGAACTTACATCAACATCAGCTCCAACACCAAAATCAGCTCCAACACCAACATCAGCTCCAACACCAACATCAGCTCCAACACCAACATCAGCTCCAACACCAGTGCCAACACCAACATCTGAACTGACACCAACATCAGCTCCAACATCAGTGCCAACACCAACATCTGAACTGACACCAACATCAGCTCCAACACCAACATCTTTCCAAACTCCAACATCTGAACTTACACCAACATCAGTGCCAACACCAACAACTGAACTGACACCAACATCAGCTCCAACACCAACATCAGCTCCAACTTCAGTGCCAACACAAACATCAGTACCAACACCTACATCATTTCCAACCCCAACATCTGAACTGACACCAACATCAGCACCAACTCCAACATCTGAACTGACACCAACATCAGCTCCAACACCAACATCTTTCCAAACTTCAACATCTAAACTTACACCAACATCAGTGCCAACACCAACATCTGAACTGACACCAACATCAGCTCCAACACCAACATCAGCTCCAACACCAACATCAGCTCCAACACCAACATCAGCTCCAACTTCAGTGCCAACACAAACATCAGTACCAACACCTACATCAGTTCCAACCCCAACATCTGAACTGACATCAACATCAGCGCCAACACCAACATCAGCTCCAACACCAACATCAGCTCCAACTTCAGTGCCAACACAAACATCAGTACCAACACCTACATCAGTTCCAACCCCAACATCTGAACTTACACCAACATCTGAACTGACACCAACATCAGCTCCAACACCAACATCAGCTCCAACACCAACTTCTGAACTTACATCAACATCAGCTCCAACACCAACATCAGCTCCAACACCAACATCAGCTCCAACACCAACATCAGCTCCAACACCAACATCAGCTCCAACACCAACATCAGCTCCAACTTCAGTGCCAACACAAACATCAGTACCAACACCTACATCATTTCCAACCCCAACATCTGAACTGACACCAACATCAGCACCAACTCCAACATCTGAACTGACACCAACATCAGCTCCAACACCAACATCTTTCCAAACTCCAACATCTGAACTTACACCAACATCAGTGCCAACACCAACAACTGAACTGACACCAACATCAGCTCCAACACCAACATCAGCTCCAACTTCAGTGCCAACACAAACATCAGTACCAACACCTACATCATTTCCAACCCCAACATCTGAACTGACACCAACATCAGCACCAACTCCAACATCTGAACTGACACCAACATCAGCTCCAACATCAGTGCCAACACCAACATCTGAACTGACACGAACATCAGCTCCAACACCAACATCAGCTTCAACACAAACATCAGTACCAACACCTACATCATTTCCAACCCCAACATCTGAACTGACACCAACATCAGCACCAACTCCAACATCTGAACTGACACCAACATCTGCTCCAACATCAGTGCCAACACCAACATCTGAACTGACACGAACATCAGCTCCAACACCAACATCTGAACTGACACCAACATCAGCTCCAACATCAGTGCCAACACCAACATCTGAACTGACACCAACATCAGCTCCAACACCAACATCTTTCCAAACTCCAACATCTGAACTTACACCAACATCAGTGCCAACACCAACAACTGAACTGACACCAACATCAGCTCCAACACCAACATCAGCTCCAACACCAACTTCTGAACTTACATCAACATCAGCTCCAACACCAACATCAGCTCCAACACCAACATCAGCTCCAACACCAACATCAGCTCCAACACCAACATCAGCTCCAACACCAACATCAGCTCCAACTTCAGTGCCAACACAAACATCAGTACCAACACCTACATCATTTCCAACCCCAACATCTGAACTGACACCAACATCAGCACCAACTCCAACATCTGAACTGACACCAACATCAGCTCCAACACCAACATCTTTCCAAACTCCAACATCTGAACTTACACCAACATCAGTGCCAACACCAACAACTGAACTGACACCAACATCAGCTCCAACACCAACATCAGCTCCAACTTCAGTGCCAACACAAACATCAGTACCAACACCTACATCATTTCCAACCCCAACATCTGAACTGACACCAACATCAGCACCAACTCCAACATCTGAACTGACACCAACATCAGCTCCAACATCAGTGCCAACACCAACATCTGAACTGACACGAACATCAGCTCCAACACCAACATCAGCTTCAACACAAACATCAGTACCAACACCTACATCATTTCCAACCCCAACATCTGAACTGACACCAACATCAGCACCAACTCCAACATCTGAACTGACACCAACATCTGCTCCAACATCAGTGCCAACACCAACATCTGAACTGACACGAACATCAGCTCCAACACCAACATCTGAACTGACACCAACATCAGCTCCAACATCAGTGCCAACACCAACATCTGAACTGACACCAACATCAGCTCCAACACCAACATCTTTCCAAACTCCAACATCTGAACTTACACCAACATCAGTGCCAACACCAACAACTGAACTGACACCAACATCAGCTCCAACACCAACATCAGCTCCAACTTCAGTGCCAACACAAACATCAGTACCAACACCTACATCATTTCCAACCCCAACATCTGAACTGACACGAACATCAGCACCAACTCCAACATCTGAACTGACACCAACATCAGCTCCAACATCAGTGCCAACACCAACATCTGAACTGACACGAACATCAGCTCCAACACCAACATCTGAACTGACACCAACATCAGCTCCAACATCAGTGCCAACACCAACATCTGAACTGACACCAACATCAGCTCCAACACCAACATCTGAACTTACACCAACATCAGCTCCAACACCAACATCTAAACTGACACCAACATCAGCTCCAACATCAGTGCCAACACCAACATCTTTCCAAACTCCAACATCTGAACTGACACCAACATCAGCTCCAACACCAACATCAGCTCCAACACCAACATCAGCTCCAACTTCAGTGCCAACACAAACATCAGTACTAACACCTACATCAGTTCCAACCCCAACATCTGAACTTACTTCAACATCTGAACTGACACCAACATCTGCTCCAACACCAACATCAGCACCAACTCCAACATCTGAACTGACACCAACATCAGCACCAACTCCAACATCTGAACTGACACCAACATCAGTTCCAACATCAGCTCCAACACCAACATCAGCTCCAACTTCAGTGCCAACACAAACATCAGTACCTACACCTACATCGGTTCCAACCCCAACATCTGAACTGACACCAACACCAACCTCTGAACTTACACCAACATCATCTCCAACACCAACATCAGCTCCAACACCAACATCAGCTCCAACTTCAGTGCCAACACCAACATCAGCACCAACTCCAACATCTGAACTGACACCAACATCAGCTCCAACACCAACATCAGCTCCAACTTCAGTGCCAACACAAACATCAGTACCTACACCTACATCGGTTCCAACCCCAACATCTGAACTCACACCAACACCAACCTCTGAACTTACACCAACATCATCTCCAACACCGACATCAATTCCAACACCAACATCTATTCCTCCTGGAACATATACCACAACAACAACTACAACTCCTGAACCTCCACCAACATCTTTACCTACACCAACCTCTATTCCAACTCCAACATCAGTACCAACACCAACATCTAAACTGACACCATCATCAGCTCCAATATCAGTCCCAACACCAACCTCTGAACTTACACCAACATCAGTACCAACTCCAACATCTGAACTGACACTAACATCAGTGCCAACACCAACATCTGAACTGACACCAACATCAGCTCCAACACCAACATCAGCTCCAACTTCAGTGCCAACACAAACATCAGTACCAACACCTACATCAGTTCCAACCCCAACATCTGAACTGACACCAACATCTGTCCCAACGCCAACATCAGCTCTAACATCAGTGACAACACCAATATCTTTCCCAACGTCATCCACTGAACTGACATTAACATCAGTACCAACACCAACATCAGTACCAACACCAACTTCTGAACTTACACCAACATCAGTACCAACTCCAACATCTGAACTGACACCAACATCAGCTCCAACCCCAACATCAGTACCAACACCAACCTCTGAACTGACAGCAACATCAGTACCAACACCAACATCAGCTCTAACATCAGTGCCAACACCAACATCTTTCTCAACCCTTACATCTGAATTGACACCAACATCAGTGCCAATAATATCTGTCCCAACTCCATCCTCATTATCAACATCACTGCCAACACCAACATCTGTACCAACATCATCCTCTGCACCCACGATTACTTCAACATCAGGTAATTAAAAAAATCTGATTTTTTTTCTGTATTGTATATTTAGTGTTCATTTTCCTTGTAGTTGCTGTTTACTTATGTGCCTTTTTAGCTCTAAAGTAGTGATTTTCTGTGTGACTGTGCAAATGTTTTATAAATTCTGTCTTTTTGTCTGTTAAAAATTTTATACACTTGACTTCTTTTACACATATTCTCTGAGCAAGTGAATTTTTTGTACAATTATTTTTTTCACATAGACAAATTTTGAGACATTAAAAAAAATTAATCAATTAGTCAATTTATTACTAGTATTTTTTTTTTATCAATATCAACAAGGGAAATTAATTCTTCAATATTCACTGATACTGCTAAAATATGTTGGGCTTTGTCCCCTTAGTTCATTGTACACTTTATTTAAAACTTTGTACAATAATAAACATTGGCATTTACTAGACATGTGAGGCTCAGTGGCTGAGTGGTAAAGTGCTTGGCTTCTGAACCGGGATTCCCTGGTTCAAATCCTGGGATATTTAATTTCGGGATCTTTGGGCGCCTCTGAGTTCAACCAGCTCTAATGGGTATCTGACAGTAGTTGGTGAAAAGTAAAGGCAGGTGGTAGTTTTGCTGGCCACATGACACCCTCCTTAACCATAGGCCAAATAAACAGATGACCTTTACATCATCTGCTCTATAGTCAACAAGGTCTGAAAGGGGAACTCTGCTTTACTTTATATACAAGACAGAAATTAATAAAAAAAAAAAAAAAAAATTAGTCAATTTAATAATGGTATGAATTATTTTGTTTGATATCAACAAGGGAAATTAATTCTTCAGTATTCACAGATATGGTTAAGTATGTAGAGTTTTGTAGAGTTTCATTCTTTTAGATCATTGTACACTTTTTTTTTCCACACCTCTTCTGAGATCAAGTTGAAACTTTAGAAAATATTTATGGTATTTAATTAAAAAAACAACTATTTTGTCAATTAAAATATTGATGATTAATTATTTTGTTTGATATTGAATATGGTAAATTACCACTTCATTATTGAGAGCTATAGCTATAAGCTTTGTATTCTATAAAAGCATTTTTTTATATTTTGCTGCTTGTTGTAATTATTAAATTTGATGTTACTTATGTCTGCTTAAGATTTTGCATGTAAAAAAAAACCTTTCTGTTGATCTTATGTGACAAGCAAGTTTTATGATTAAAAAAAAATATCCTTTTTCTGTAAGCAATAGACATTCATTTAAGACAAGAGTTGACATACTGTTTTTTTTTACTTTATTGAATTTGTTATAATTAATTGTGGTACACATCTTTCATTCTATGTTATCTTTAACTAAAGTTGAGCTTGTAGATGGAGATTTAGCTTTTTGTTTTTTGGAGATCATATCAAAGATTTTGAGTTTTTCTTAATGTAAGGCAGAAGTTTTCTTTGCATTTTCCTGACATCATTGACTACTCATTTCTAAAGGGAATGTGATATTTGTTGGAGAAAGTAATGGCACTGACATCCTCATTAACCATTTATCACAGAAACAATGTATTTTTCCTTAATATTTGTTAAAGTCTTGTATGTCATTATAAAATCATCTAAGTTTTTGTTTTCATGATACTTATTTAATAGACTTTCAATTCTGTTAGCTTTGTCATTGATGGAAGTACCGGTATACAATGATCTATATGTCGTATCATAAGATTTAGATTACTCTCATCAGTATTGAATCCTCTCAATTAGGATTCTGCTAAACATGGTAGAATTTCTAATGGTGTTGAATATATTTCATAAAATAACTGTGTCTATCTGTAAAGTGCTTTCCTCTTTATGCAGCTGTTTGGTCCAAAGGAATGGTGAATAGCTGATACTATTTGAAATCAGTAGCATTGCAAGGTCTGGCACAGTGTTGCAGTTATACTGCAATCTACCTAAAGGTCACCTGCTTTTTTTAGGATTCACTCCTGAAGCCTTTCCTGTCTTTGAGTTTAGCCATAAAGCAACGGAGGTTTGGATTGAAGACTTTTCCTTCTCCTAGGTGGGTGGCCTACCATTGCTAATGAGCCCTTCCTGACAGAAACTTTCTGGTTTAAATGCCAGATGCTTGCCTTTGCCATTCTCCTGTCCGTGTTAATTGTTCCACCAGGTACACACGAAAACCAGGAATTTTATAATTATATTTTTCAAGTTAAAATTTTCTACCTCTCATACAATATTATAATTTCCAAGTGTTTCTTAAAAGATTTTCATGGATTTCCATTTAATTTATGTTTTCATTATACTAAGGTTTTTGAAAATGTACCAATGTATAGGGTTTTCCTATTTTTTTCTAGCAAATGGTTTTTACTCATTTAGCATTTAAAAGAAAGAAATTCTTGTATTTTAATATTTACATATTCACTTCATTCTAGAAACTCTGACAACTACTGTTACTCCAAAACCTCCTACACCAACACCAACACCTCCTATATGTGAAGAAAAAATGACTACTCTTGTACCTGGAGATAAATCTCTTATAAATTTTGAAAACATTACTAAAGAATTATTTATCATTGGCAATGAAGTCCACAAACTTTATAGTATAAATGAACATGACAATGCTATGATTTTACTTCCATCAAATAAGGTAAGTTTTCATTTTTTATTATTACTACTCAAATTTAAAAAAATATATATCTTTTGATCAACAGTATACTAATAAGGTTGAAATGTGAGATATTGATTCAGTATTAATGATGATCACACACTTTGAGCCAGAGATTTTCACTTCAAAATCCTACTAAGGAGCACATAGGTCACTTTTGTATTGTCTTGGAGAGATTCAAATTTAAATGTATATATTTCAAAATATAAAAATCAAAATTACACTTTTCTCTTGGCAGGCCTCATAGATTCAGTGTTCTTGAAAATGCAACATATGGAAGTTGTTGGTTTTTTTTGTGTAGAAGTCAGGGGCTTGGAATAGCTTATAGTTTACTACTGGATATTGACTTCACATATCTTTGAAAATTAAAATATTTTCTTTGAAAGAGCAATGTAGAAAATGCTTTTGGCAATTGGTGCAACAGGGACTTAAGAAGCCATTTAATACTCAACATAGCAGAATGTTATTTATTCACAATATCAGAAGCATTCTTAATCAACTTATTCAGATCTATTCTAAACTGTGATAAGGTTATGAATGTGAAAACTACATCATTTTTGTTTATATTTTTATTTTTCTAACAATTATTTATTTTTGTTTCATCAAACTTTTCTTTTCCAGACAGTGATTTTCAAACCACCTAATGATTTGATTGCTATTGAAATAAGTATGTTGAAATACATATCATTGTAGTTTGTGCTAACAGTTTTATAGTATCTACAATATTTTAAGTCACTGTTGTTTTATTAGAAGGATTTTATTTTTAAACTTTTTAATCTGTATTTGCAGATATTGAAGACTTTTCATTAGAATATAAAACAACTCTAAGTAAGTATTTTATTTTTGTTGATGCTTTTGTTAAGTTAGTAGGATTTTCCAGTCACATTATCCTAAATGTTTTTGATGTATCTTTAAAATATTGCCTCATCTAATGTTAATTTACTGTAAAAAAATTTTGCACATGGCTGTATGGGTTAGGATGGGTTGTTCCTGTTTTCCATTTTTAGGTTTTTCCATGGCAAAGCAGCCTTAAGATGTTTGTGATCTCACTTTAAAAATACATTGAATGTCAACTGTGTTAAACAAAGTAAATACTTTTAATTGAACTTCATATCTGATTTCTATTTTTTTTTTCACAGAAAATTATACGTCTTCTATAGTTAGTTTGAAGAATTCACAAAATCTTTTGATTCTTATTTATTGGAAATCGGACAATTCTCCTCTAGAAGTTCCTTCAAATGGAATATTGTTTATAGCAAAGGTGATATGATTCATACATTTTTGACAGTGTTAATATTGTATTTTTTATTTTAACCATTTTCTGTTTTTTTTACTTTAATGAATTTTGAAAATCTAAAAGAAAAAGTAATGTGAGTGGTATCTTTTGAATTGAATTTTGTAACATTTTTATGTTGAAAGAAAATATTGCATCTAATATGAATTCATATATTTGTAAAGTTTAGATTTTTTGTATTATAAATTGATAATACATTAGCAAAATTTAAGTAATGGCTATAAAAGCAATAATATAATTTTTATATATATATATACACATATCTCTGTTAAAGCTACAGCAATGGTTTGCATTGAAAAAAAACAAAAAAAAAATAATTTCGAAAGTTACAAATTAAATATGAACAAATGTTGACAACATTTTGTATTAGTCTTTTGCAACAGCATCTCAGGCATTGCTATAGAAAATATATTAATTAAATGTATTTT